GGGTACTCCGGCTTCCTCCCACAGTCCAAAGACATGCAGCTTAGGTTGATTGGTGTCTCTAAATTGCCCATAGGAGTGCGTGTGCGTGGTTGTTTGTCTATGTGTTAGCCCTGCGATGGATTGGTGACCTGTCCAGGGTGTACCCCGCCTTTGCCCAATTGCTGGCCGGGATTGGCTCCGGCCCCCCCGTAACCCCGTTCAGGGACTAAGCAGTAGAAAATGAATGTTCTTTCTGGCCTTTGACTCCTTACCTGACTCCAACAAAGAGCTGTACAAGAATTCCTATATGCCTAGACTGTCTGTTTATGCATAAATGGCAAATAAAAATCTTGACTTGACCACTGGTATCTGTAGACAGCAGTATGATGTATATGTGATTTTACCACTGTGATGTAGTGCTGTATGTGTGAACTGCTGCAGTTAAAAAAGCAAAGTTAGTGTGTGAAAAGGGGGAAATTAGCGATCAGTTTCCTGCAAAAGAGGAAATGCTGGGAGAGATGTCTCAGTGTCTATAAAGAGAGACAAAGAAAGAAAAAAGGAAGAAACCACAGAGTTTAGTGGAAAGAAGGAGATTAAAATAAATTAAAATATTAATGGCCTCAGCCATTAAGTAATTTGATTAATCAGTAATAATTAGTGTTTGATCAAGTGTTAAAGTAATTTTTGATATTTCACATTATTGCTTGCTAAACTTTTGAATTATCCTTATTGTAAATTTGTGACAAATACAGTTGAGAGTTAGAAACTATATTTAAGGTGTATTTTAAAGCTGCTTATAATAAAACGTCCTAAACTGAAATACAGTTATTTTGTTTTTCACCTCCAAAAATTAAAGTAGTGATGACTAAAACTTAAAACCAAACTGGTGATTCAATTTTGAAATAATTGTATTGGAAAGTATTCTAAATACATTTGTTGATTACTTATATATGCAAAATTATATCTTATCAGTTGGGTGTCCAATTCTGGGAAATTAACTGTCAGCTAATAATAATCTGTGCACAAAAATTAGGGTTTGTTATACCATTTGTCAGCTTTTATAGGTTATTTTAGACTAAACTAAACCCTTCCTCAAAGGGTGAGACAGTTAGTGGAGGGGAGGTGGGGGGGTTGGGTGGTCGCGGTGTGTGTGTGCCTCCTCTCTGTGCTGTGGCTGGAGGTCTCAAAGCAGGTGTAGAAGGTGTTGAGGTCATCCGGCAGACTGTCTGTGGAGCTGATGATGCTGGGGATTGCCCAGTGTGTTTTGTGTGTGTGCTAATAAAAGAGTGGCTTCCTTGGACGTGGGAGAGCACAGAAAAAGGCAACTTCTGTCTCCAGCTGCTTCCTCAAGCTAGCCTACGTTACAGTATATTAGCTCCTAAAAAATTCCCAGTACTGTAACATCTGAAGTTATAAGGAGGTATTTTTTTCAAAATAGTACAATTTTGTATATGTAGTGGGTATTTCTCTGTCAGCCACTAAGGTAGCTGGTTAAAACATGTCTGACTCTAGGCTATCCAAAATAATCCAAGATGCTCTCAAAAGTTCAGACCTCTGTGGATTAAAATTTCATAGTTGTCCTGGTTTACAGTTCAGTGTGTCCTGTCAACAGTTTTATAGACAGGGTTTACAAAAAAACATCTAAATGCTTAAAAAAAACCCAAACATTTTAAGGCTTTTAGCTGTGTGAGGAAAAAATAACAATGCTTCAGAATTTCCACGAATGCATTCATTTTGAAATAAAGAAGAAAATGCAAACTACTCTAATAACTCTCACAAAAACGTTCAGTGGTGTTGTGTAGTTATGTACTCTCGTGTGTGTGTGTGTGTTTCAGATATCAAGCTTTACACGAGAATGAATGCTCAGACAGTCGGGTGGTTGGTATTTCTGGTCCTAACACAAAGTAGGAATTTAATTACTCTACTATTTCAGCAATGTTTGCTTTTAACAACGTTTCCATTAAAGCCACATATACTACTGACTTTTCCACTTGTGTTTTCATCACTACAGATTTTTCTTTTGGCCAAATATTCCCCTTCGAAATAGAACAACACAAACTGAATGCTACAGAGGGGTCCTGCATTGAAATCAAGTGCACAGTCACACGATCTGTTGATGATGTTGACGCCTCCTGGTTTTGGCTGAAGGATGCAAAATATATAGATGCTGATAAAGATTATACTGGCACTGTCATTTACAGTACGGATCAATCTCAACGTCCTGTCAGTCCAGACTTTAAAGACAGAGTGAAATACATCGGCTATTCACTTCTGAAGTGGAAAAATGATCTGTGCAGTATTTTGATCTGCAACCTGAAAAAAAGTGACAGTGGTCCGTACTCTTTCAGATATGTGGGACAGGGTGATAGAAAATGGATAACGCAAAAAAACGTGACCCTCACTGTTACAGGTATGTGTAAAAATGAAAATATTGAAATATATTTTATGAAAATAAATTTTCAAATGTTGAGAGCTGGTCTGGAAACAGAAACAACTATGAGCTTAGTTAAGTATCAATGGTGTGATAAATATAAGAAAATAAAATGAATGTCTTTTATATGTTTAGTACTCAACAGAAAAACATAGCTAATAACATTTCAACATGATTATTACTGTACAAT